CGGTTACACACTACTCATTTTTTTTCCCAAATACTAAAATATGTCATAACTGATAATAGTGATATAAATTTTATATATTTAAAAAATAAACAAGAAAATTCTACGATAGTGAGTATTGATGTAACCTTCATTGGATTAAGGTCAATAAATCTCATTGCAATTGTCTGACATGTGTCGCCATTTCTACTAAATCTTATTCCATTCTCTGCATTCGACAAATAGCAGACATATTGATTTTGTTTTAGAAAATAAACTTGTATACTTTAAATTCACTTGCACTAATAACACGAAATTCGAAAATAAAAAAATTTTGGTTATAAATAAAACCATCGTCTATTTATTTACACAAGTACGTAGTATGGTAAATGTAGTCATTAGAGAAAACTTTTTTTTTTTTAACTTTCTCAACTTTACTTTTAGTAATATTATTTTTATGTTTAACTTATTTTTATTTATTGTGCATAGGGTGTGAAAAAGAAACTATATCACTGTTATTACGAAAAAATGTAATATTACTCAACAAAGACGTGTTTAAACTTCCTCAAACTTATTTGAACATACAGAATAGTTGAGTGAAGAGTAGACTATTTAAAATTAATTTAATTTTTCTTACACGTTCTCACGATAGTGAAATTGCATATTTAAGGTTTTTATAGGGATGTTACAGCAACGTTTTCATCAAAATTGGCTTACCAGAAGCGGCACTTTATATAATGAACTAAACACATTTTTACGATTATTTCGAAAACTACTCATTCATTCAAATTCATCATATCAATGTAAAATTAAGCAGTTTTAAATAAAATGTGGTTATTATTCCCGATTGATGTTCTCTAACAGGGCTCAAATAGCTAATTTTCAATATTAGCTTTCTATAAAGTACCTTTAATTTTTTTTATTTGAAACGATTGACCATTTCACATTATTTTATAATATTAAAAATGTTGAAATTTAAAATATGAAAGAATTTGATAAAAACTACAGGGAAATAAGAGATCATAACGGAGGATAGTTGTAATTGAGGAACCAAAGGAATACGAGCGCACCCAAATTCATCCGAAAGATTAGAACATGCTTCCATACGTATCATGAGATTAATATAATACGGACTCCGACAATATTATATAAATATACATATGTGGTTTTCATAAATGCTTTTGTTGGTATTATTTAATATTTAATTGTATATATTACAGCTATCTAAATATTAAAATTTGTATATATGTGGGTACTTATACAAATAAAATACAAATATAAATAAATATAGAATCTATAATTTCTACTTTTACTTCGCTTTGTCTGAAAATACTTATTTCTTCTAAGAAGAGGGTGGTAAGTGAAAGTTGTGTGATGAGCGCACCGCACCAGATTTTTATTGTAAGTACACATAAAAATGTATGTCCTGAAATATGCAATAAATGAATGTATAAGAGAAAAAATTGTTTGAACAATACAAAGTCATGTATATTTATTTTATAATATATATATATATATATATATATTATTTTTTTTTTTTTTAATCATAATTTCAATAATGATTTTGGTCCATATAATCGGCGAACACTAGTATAATTAGATAGATCACGGCAATCTGAAAATTAAAATTCGTACTCATATCTATGCTTTGAGGTATGGGGCTCCACCAAACCTTCAAATTCCTCTCGCATCCAATCCTTACAATCTAAAATCCTCAATGCTCCTTACTTTGTTACAAATAAAATCATCCATAATGACCTTAATGTTCCTTATGTATCAGATTTGGCCCAATCCAGATATCTGTCCTTCCATAATAAATTTCATAACCATCCCAACCCTCTTGTTTCTAACCTTGCTTCCTATTCGATTCCTGATAATCCTCCGAGGCGTCTGAAAAGAAGATGGCTACGTGATCTCCTAATATAGACATATTATTAGAGTGCTACCAATGGGTAGTTTCTCAACATGTGTTTCATGTCTTTATATCCATGTGCGAATTTACCAGATGTATTTTTTGTATACAGTTGTAAATATCATATAAATAAATAAAAAATATCTATGCTTAAATACTTTTCCATTAAATTGAGTAGAATATTACTTTGAGCATAAATTTACTTCTTTATCTACAGTTAAGGTCTCTCACTCAGTCCTTTAAAACGGCACGAACTGTATAATTTTTCCGATTGTATCTGAACTTTTTCTCTATTCATTCAGAAATATTTTATTCATAATTGTAATTTCATCGAAATGTAATTTCCCTTTCAAGGGTCGAACAATTTATAATTTTCTTTTTTTTTTTTAAATGTAAGGGCAATGATTAATGCCTTGGGAGTAAAAAAAAGTGAAATGAGGGCAGCCTTTAATAATTTCGTTGAAAAAGGGTGTTGTGTCGGGCAGACAATAAAAAGCTCGCCGGATACGACCTCGTTTCGTCTTTTTATGAATCAACTTTTTAAAGAGATTTTTTTTTTTTAAATTTACAATGAATTATTTCTAGTTTTAAAAGTGACTTGGCAATCAGTGTTATCTTTATATATACATTTTTAAAATTTAAATATGAGTTATGAGTTTTGTACGGAGTTAAAGTTGGGTGGAGTTGGAAGTTTTAGAATAAACTTTGCCTGCCCGGATTACTCAGAGATAAAACGACCTCATCAGTTGGAAGTTTTTACTTTGAAGATGTTAGCCATTATGCTCAATAGAGAGACTCTCATCCCGACCCGGAGAATAGAGAAGCTGCTTGGAAGACGAATAGAAAACCTCAGAGCTCTTACCTTTAGTTTTCTATAGAAATGAAAAGGGTACCTTTCCTCTTCGACTTCTCTTATACAATAAAGAACACTTCAACGTAACGATTTTTTATCTTAAAAACTGTAATAGAATAAAAAAAAAAACTCCTGCCAATTAATACATAACTTTCTCTCCATTTTCATTCACAACTACCTATCTTTCAAGATGAATACTTTTCTTCTGACATTCTGATCTTTACACCCCTTCTCACAGATATAACTCATTCCAAAACTGCTTTGTTGCTAGCTCAGTCAATTTCTTGAATTACCTATCGAAATTCGACATTCCTCCTCCATATCCACTAGTTTTGTCCAAATGCGAGACCGAGACCGAGACTTGCAAACTCAGTCTTGGCCATGGTCTTGGTCTTGCGCAAGAATCTTGCAGTTACTTATTAGCTTATTAATATAGAGATATTACTGTATTTTTACTTTCACTTACTTATATATGTAATATATAGTAAGTGTAAGTATTGCGATCGAGAAAAGTTTTGAATCTGAGTTTTCGACGGATTTTTTTAGATAGGAGAAACCTTACTAAGCCCGAATGAAAAATTTGAGGAATTAAATGCAAAAGTATATTGGTCATACCAATTATTTATATATAGTAGCTAAGATTGTCAAGTATTAGTAACTCTTTTGCATTAATTTTATTTTAAAAATCGACTTTTACCAGTTCTGGTCTTGGTCTTGCAACAGCCAGGCGTTGGTCTTGGTCTTGCAAAGTGCAAGACCAAGACCGATTTTTTGTAAAACTAATATCCACATTTAAAACCCAGCTATTCCAATTCCCTTCCATTTGAATCCAAGGATTCAAGTGCCTTCCACACCGAAACTCTTCTAACAATAGATTAATTTAACTTTTGTGTACTTACAAAACATACGATTTCAGGAGCTTTCTATGCCGTGAAAGACACTCGAATACTTCACTAATTTTCAATATTCATAGAATCTAACAAACCACTTTTGTTTTTACATATACATAATTTTTATGTCCTGTAAGTTGGACTTTACCTGTCCAAATAACTGTTACTCAAACTTCAAATAACTCTTTATTTTCGAAGTCGGTTTTTTATAGTTAAAATAATTTTTATTCAATAAAAAACTTTTAGTTTTTTCATAAAAAATAGTCGCATGAAATAATTTCAAATTGATTATTAATCAAGAATAAATAAACTATATTACATTTTTTTTCACTATTTTTTGCTCAATTTGTTTCAAAGTACCCACGAGACTCGCACCGGACGCGGAAAAACTAGTGTTGGTTGACCGTTGTTTTCTACCTTACCACTTAACCAAATAATTAAGTTTAGGTACTCGTTCGACGCACAATTTAACGTTCTTTAATTATTCAAAGAGTATATATTTTTTTTTTTTCCAAATCCAGTTCTGGCGCAAGTTGAGACGCAGTTTGGTGCGTTGAAGTGACGTGGTTCATGATATTCATATTTTGTGGAATAGAATAATGAAGTCCATTTGAGGACCTCTCCTGACGCAGTTTATTTCTAATGTCACCGAACTGAATTTCACAAATCATGTACATGATAAAGGAAAACTTACTAATTAATTTATAGAAATATTTGAGCTTGATTTTTTTTTTTTTTTCGAATAACCTTTTATTCTTGCACAAGAAAACTCTTTATGACTTTCAAGATGATACTTTATGATTCATCTTAAGAATACAGCTGGTTTTAATTCATTATTGAAATATTTGGCTTTGCAATCTATAGCATCAATAGTGATAGTGATTCTTATATTTCTTATTATATCAATCCTCTTTGAGGATAAAGTCTCCATGTGTTTTTGTTTTCTTTAAGTAGTTGTTTTTTGAAACTTTTTCATGAAGTAGTGTAGAAATTACTTGGTGTTCGATATCAACGGAATCTGTTTCCGAACTTAATAATGAATCAATGAAAATTTAATTTGTCCTTTTCTATTTTTAAGTTACTAATGAGATCTTGGCCTGGACTAATGGAGTAACTGTTTATGTTTATATTTTGAGAATAACACCTCTCCTTTCCTCGTACGCCAGAAATGGCCAGTGGGATTTTAAGCAAAAAAAGAAAAGACTTTAATATTCTGTCATATAATGACAAAGAAGGCAGGTTGATAAGTAGTAGATGATTGGTCGGAACGGAAGGAACCTATCTAATGAGGAGGTCCAATTAGGAGAGAGCTCTGGAGGCGATCCAGTTCTGGACAAAGAGAGTCCCCCTTTTCCCAGCTCCCTCTCTCCTACAGTACCCTATCCATCCCTCCCCCGTAGTACTTCCCTCCCTCTAGTACTCTCTTCTCTATAATACTTCCACTCCATTCATTCCTCCCCCCCCCTAGCTCTTTTATCATCGTATTACCGATGTCAGCGCCTCTTCTAAACATCTGCCTCTTAAATGAACCTTCACATCGCTTCTCGATCTCAACCCTCCTCTCAATCTGGTTTGTAATACCGCTCATAATCTTTAACATTTCGTATTAGCTTAATTATTCAATACACTTGCCCTTTTGATTCATATTGCAGATAGTGATTCAAGATTTTTTTTTTTTAAATTTCTTAATGATATTTAAAACTGTATTAAAGAAATACATTTAGTAAATTTGAACATATTGATATAATGACGTGAAAACGCTTGTTGAGAAACTACCCACTGGTATCACTCTAATAATATGACTATATAAGGAGATCACGGGGTCATCTTTTTTTCAGACGCCTCAGAGTGTTATCAGGAATTGAAGAGGAAGCAAGGTTAGAAACGAGAGGGTTATTATGGATCCTGAAGGTTATTATGGAAGGATATGTGTCTGGGTTGGGCCAGATTTGAAACATAAGAAACATTAAGGTTATTATGGATGGTTTTATTTGTAACAAAGTAGGGAGTATTGAGGATTTTATAAAGGATTTTAGATTGTAAGGATTGGATACGAGAGGAATTCGATGGTTTATTGAAGCCCCATAGCTCAACTCCGTAAGTCCAAATAGGCCTTATTATATTTATGTATATAATTCTTTTGTTATTAATTAGAAGTTTAGATCGTTTGTCTAGTAAGTGCTGGAGTAATCGGAGACGTCGAGCGGTTTCTTGTCGTTTCAGTCTGGTATGAGGATTAAAGAAAAATATACACTTTTTTGTATTAATAATAAAACTATTTTATACATCGCTTATTAGTGTCAATAGTTGCCTCTTGCGGACAATTAGCAAAGTATATTGGTATGCGAAGAAATGAAAAAAATAACACAGAAATAAGTGAATTAAATGTATTACAAGGACGGGAAAGTAATGTCGTTTCTGAACATGTCACTATTTGATTGTCATTTGGCAGCTCATTCTGTACCTCTATGTCGTGACAGAGATGTTGTAAGGTTAAAGTGACTTCTTTAGTAGTAAATAACTAAATTTTAATTGTTTTTATTAAAATTTTTAGTGAAATGGCCAGCAAAATACCAGAAGAGGTACATAGCCGATTTTTCTTGCTTTTTGAGTTTCGCAAGGATAGTAACGCTAGAGCTGCAACAAAAAACATTTGAAATGTTTATCTAAATGAATTTGACAATCGTAAAAGCCATAGGTGGTTTTTTTTCAATTTCAAATCCGGTGATTTTGATCTTTACGAATGATATCAATTAGGAAGATAAACAATGTTAGACAATGGCAAGAACAGAAGGCGAATCAAATTCTTTTCAGACAATCGAGGAATGGTAAAATGGCCTTTCTCAACCTTAGTCAACCATCCAATCAAATTGAGAAGCCACTATATACAACTTATTGCTCCACGGCACTGTAAAGAAGTGTTTTCGGATCGCTTGATCACTCGAGATGGAAAATGGATCCTGTATGATAATCCTAAACGTAAAAGTTGTGGCTATACCCAAACGAATCACCATGAAGTACTGCCAAGCCAGGTTTACACCCCAAAAACATCCATTTTGTATTTGTTGGAGTATTATCGACCTTGCTCATTTAGAAGTGTTGAAACCCAGACAAAATGTGAATGAATATCTTTATTGTGAACAATTTGATCGGGTGAGTCAATCTTCAAATGAAAAGTGGTCAGAGATTGCCAACAGAAAAGGCGTTATTCTTCAATACGAAAATGCAAGATCGCACTGCGCTGGAAAAACTCTGGAACAAATTAATGAATTGGGGTGGAGGAACATATAAACATACTCAACCGATGTTGCACCATCGGGTTTCTATTTGTTCGGATCCTTTCAACACTTTCTTAGTAATAAAAGATTTGCAAATTTGAATGATGTCCAAACTGCTACCTGTTGACTTTTCTGAAAAACCAATCGGATCTGAATACTGTAAGTGAGAGACATATTCAGCATTTCATCTTCTTTATAATGAGCTATTATTTACAATTTATGTTTCATATTATTAATCTTGCCTTGTTGATGATTTCACTTCTATCATGTTAACTAAAGTACACACCTTAGTTGTTTTTTTTTAGGAATTATAGTAACCTTTCAAATAATCATAAGTATAATAAACCAAAAATTCTATAATTTTCGAATTCTATGTAAATAAAGTTTCTCTATCTTTATAAAATTTCAGAGAGGGTGTGAAACATTTATTTCTATATTTCTAATCATAATAAGAATTTTGGTTGAAAACTCCGAGACAGTTTATCATAAATTCCAATTAACTTTTTTCCTCTCCAAAGAAAGCGTTTACTCAACGTTGTAACTCTAAATTAGCCTAGATAACGTAAATTAATTTGTTTTTATGAAAATATGGCCAACGCTGCTTTGTTCCTTTCTAAAACAGTATTTTTTCGACCTTAGCAATCCGTCGTTTCATAAAAAAAAATCAAAAAAAAAAAAAATCTAATAATACAATTTCAGTAGAAATTAATTTATAACAAATTATACAAAACATATGTTCCTATCATTGAAATTTTAATTTATATTCCAAGATAATTTTCATTAACATATCCTATGATTTCCTGATTCGTAAATGTACACCTTTTCATTTTACTTAAAGATTTTATCGCATTTACCGGGGCGAATTTGAAGAATCGGGGAATTGAGAGTTCATCTCACTGAATCAAAACTTTAAATAAAACAAGTTATATATTCAATTACTGTGCTATAATATTTTCAAATATAACTATTAAAAAAACTAATATACATATTTATTTATTGATATATTGTTCCTTTTGTTATACTTATATTAATTTTGTTGGTTATAACTAATAATTTTTATACAAAATATAAACTCCTACATTTTTGGAGAGAGTGAGGGGGTGGTTCATAGCCCCTCCAACCACAAAGGAAAGTCTACCCCATGACTTCCACCATAGATATAAATATACTAATACTAACAATTGCTCTCGGTCAATCTCTGCTGGTTTTAGTACCAGTGACGCGGTTGGGAGAGTAGCGCAGGGTTCTCCTGGAGTTCCCTCGCCTGATTGTATATAGGTATGTATGTGTTTTTTGTTTTTTTTTTCTTAGTTTTAATTTTCTTATTTTTTAGGTTATTTTATTTTATTATCTATTGTATATACTTTTGATTATTATTTTGTTCTATTTATTTTATTTTTTTGTACATATAGTGTGAATGTCATCCTACCTCACTATAACTAATGTCCAAGAGACAGATTGTTATAATACTCAATAAAGAAATAAATAAAAAAAAATACTAACAATACATTATGAACACTACATATATTTTTGTTTCTATACTAGACTATTAAATAACATAAAAGAGTCGCAAGGTGTGTTTAGAGAATTTTCGGATTCAGCTCTTTTATTTTAATTGAATTGAATATGCGTATACATATTTTTTTTGTAGTCCTTCATTGATGGAGTGTTTTGTAGGTTATTAGTCCGTGGTACAGACCTCTTTTTATCAAATTATTAACATCCGCCTAAAACTTCTTAAATAGCTTCATCTCATCGTAACCTACAAATATATTATATATGAATTGGGACGGTTTCAATCTGGAGATCGCCAAATTTTGTTTATTTAATTAGGTACTAATAACTTATGAATACCCATTTTCTTTCTACTTGAGATGCGAGATAATTTGAGCACAAACTCGAGAAAAAAGGCGACCTTCAAATATATTGAGCCGTTTGGTTTGACCTACACTCCCTAATTGTCAAAATAACGACGTTGTATAGGCTAAACGGCTCAATATTTTTTCCGCTATTTTGTGATCTAATTATCTTATGAGGCGAATTGAAAAAAAAAAGTGAAATACTTAATTTGCTGCCCTTACATTTAATGAACCATGTTGATATTAAGGCTATCTCGTCCTTACCTTTAAACAGGATTCAATAAATTCTTCTAAGGTTATGACGCCGTCTTGGTTGATATCCAACTTCCTGAAGACGTGGTCTAGCTGCTCCCTCGCCTTCCTCTCCTCTTCAACCTGAAAGAAGATTCCAAGATCAATGTTAGTTCATTAAAGTCTTTGAAGTGAGGAGTAATATGGCTTTCTTTATTATCGGCAATAGGGAAGAAGAAATTGGAAAAATTTATATTACCTGATGGAGTTTCCCTAGTTCGTGCAATGGGTATTGTTTTTACTTATAAACATGACAAATTAAAACTTTATTTAATACGGTAGTGTAGAACCACTTTCCTTTAATTTAAAGGAAAAAAAAAGATAAAAAGAAACGATGGTACTCCTTAAATAGTCGGTCGGGATGAAACCTGCCTTCTAATCTAACGTTACATCACATAACCTCGCTTATCTCGAGTTATTCCATCGTTTATTTTTGTTCCATTGTTGTGATTTTCGTCAAATTATGGATGTGTTAAAGGAGCTATCAAATATTTTCAAGATGCTGGGATAATTGTATTGTTATTATTACATTTGTTTTCGTCTATTTAATGTATAAAGGAATTATGTATGTCGTCTATTTAATAAATATATATATATTTATTATTACATTTGTTTTTGTTTACAATTTCAATAATGTGAATATAATATAATAAATATGAATAGAAAGCTGGGAATTATCAGTGCCTTATCAGAATTATCAGTGTTAAGGTTATAAACGTTGGCAGATAGCAGTCGATCCCGACCGGCTATTTTAGGAGTACCAAAACGATTAAAGAATCGTTCATAGGAATTTATTGAACAATATGATTGAATCATTGCGAATCGATTCAATTGAAAGGATCGAGTTTCGCATATCTAGTGTATACAGAGATTGATGATGTCGACATCTTACTTCCGGCTTCGCTAAGCCTTTTATTATTATTATTGTAATTAGTTAATAACTTATTTAGTAAATAATTTGATTTTGAAATCATCGAGTTCCTTGTACTATGCTCATATACCACGTATTATTCCTCGTGCAAATCCACACTCACCTTCCATACTGTGATTGATGAAGCAGTTGGTTCCACTCCGAACGACCTCATCGGAAATTAGTCCTCGTTCTGTTGACCTTTGGGGAGGGGGAGGGTTAGCATTTCCGCGAGTTTGGTCACAGGCACAACTCAATAACGTTGCTAACGGTCCAATAGTTCATTTTAAGTTGATAATCGCTTCTGCAACTGCCTAATATCCATCACTTGTTCACGCTGTATTTGATTTATTTATCGCTATATAGGAATTTCATTTCAGTATATACGAATAAAAATGTTTATTAATTAATCAAACTCGGACAGAAATCAAAACGAAAAATGGAACAAATATTGATTAATATATCTTACTTAAATTGATTATGGATTTCCTTTCTATTTCTATTACTTCAATAATCTATACTATCATATTCGAGGTTTGGGACATTTTACCAATTGTAATATCAAAACCAATATTTAAAAAAAATCGTTACATTTGTTGTACATATCACCGAAATTCAATAATAGTTTAAAAAACATTTAAACTTAAATTGCACCTCTTTCGGAAAGAATTATACTTCTGTAATTAAAATTGCACTTTGAAAAAATTAAATCTTATTTACAGTATTCTCTCACGTTAAATCTCAACTGACTATAGCATCAGTTTCGTCGTTGAGGAAATAGTGCTGGGATCTCCTCGAGTCCTTCTTTTCCCTCCTTAATTGGAGGAACTGGCTCGGCATTCCATTGCCTGCTGTAAATAACGTATATAGGTATGTCTGTGTTCTTTTATATCTTATTGATATTATTCATATCTTTAAGTTATTTTATTTGTATTTGTTTTATATGCTTTTTGATTATTATTTAGTTATTATTTTTCTTCTGTATATCTTAGCTTTTATGTATAAATAGTGTGAATTTTTATTAATAGTCTTACCTCACTATAAGTATTTTCCAAGTGACAGAGTATTATATTACTCAATAAATAAAAAAAAATACATATTTTTATAATAAAATATTTATAAAGTATGTATAAAAACAATATAATTCAATACATTTATTTATGGATTATCAATAGAATAAAACAGTTGGAAAAGCTTTTAATGAATTATTTTTTTTAAGATGTGTTTTTTAATGTGAAAGTTGTTAAATGTTTAGCAGATTATTGAGATGAAATTTTCCTTAGACGCGTTGTTGTTGTTCCTTTTGTACTTTTTTGTGGAAAGTGAATTAGATTGAACAGTCAGATCCCCGATGTGTAACGCTCGGGTAAAGGTTTAGACTAATTGAAGTTTTTTTTGCATATAGATTAATATATCTCAGAAACTAAAAATCGGACCTGCCAACTGTAAGCGAGAGCTTTTATTCTAAATTGTATCTAAACGTGACACCGTGTTATAGGTGGAGGAGAGAAGGGAAAAATAGTGTTGAAAACCAAATGATAACAAGTTTTATTGAAAATACGAATTAAAATATTTCAGACACTAAAAAATCGAACCTGCATCGAATTTTCATAATGAGGTATTATTTATAATTTATGTTTCTAATTATTAACCTCGTGTTGTTGATGTTTCCCTTCTATCGTGTGGTATAAAACACACTCCTTAGTTTTTATTTTTATTTTACTTTTTTTTTTGTAATTATTCACTTCACGAAGGAAATTATCATAACACGAGAAGGAGTCTTTTAATCAAGCAATCATTTTTAAAGCAGTATTTTCATTCACGCAATAAGAACTTCACACATTTTCACACCCAAGTGTCACGCTATATTGTTAATTAATTTTACTGCGTTGTTTTAATTGCATACGAGTCGCTAATCTCCAAAGTAGACCCCCATTGATTTTTTTTTGAAATTGAGATAAGCATAGATTCCGATGTAAAAACACCGAATGAATCTGGTGATGTGATCATTTTTTTTTTTAAATGAACCTACATTATGAAAAAAATTGTGTGTAAAAAAGTGTACTTCTGAAACGAGCCTTTTTTTAAAGGAATATAATAAAGATTGTATTTCCCAAGTTTTCTTTTTTTTTGTTTTATTAGTTATGAGATTTACAACTGTACATTTAAAATACATTCAGCAAATGGGATATAGATAAATATATAACATGACAAGGCTTGTAGAGAATTTACCCATTGGTAGCACTCTGCACTCTAATAAAGTTTCTAAATTAGGAGATCACGTTTCAGAAGCCTAGGAGGCTTATCAGGGATCGAGGAGAAAGCAAGCTTAGAAACGAGAGGATTAGCATGGTTCTGACGTTTATTATGGAAGAATAGCTATCTGGATTCGGCTAAATCGGAAACATATGGAACACTAAGGTCATTATTGATGATTTTATTTGTTATAAAGTAAGGAGCATTAAGGATTTTACGAAGGATTTTGGATTGGAAAGATAGGAAACGAGAGGAATTCGATGCTTTAGTGGACCCCCAAAGCTCAATTCCGTTAGTCCAAATAGGTCTCATTATAGTCATCTATATGAGTCTTTTGTATTTAATTGAAAGGTTAGAGCATTTATCTAGTAAGTGTTAAAGTAGTCGGAAACGTCGAGCGGTTTCTTGTCGTTTCAGTCTGGCATGAGGATTCCATGTTAGAGGTATGTCCAGGTGGAGTCCTATGCATCTGATTTGTTCAACAGGGATAAGTGGGGTATTATGAAAGGATACTGTAGGACAGGAAGTCATAGGTTTACGACGAAAGTATTTGGTAATTTGGTGGGATTTATTGGAATTTATTTTAATTCTCCAGTTTTGACACCATTCTTCAAGGTTTGTGATGTGGGATTAAAGGGTTTGGGATGTAATTGTTGGGTCGTTATGAACTGATAGGACACATGTGTCATCGGCATAGGTTGTTATAACGGTGTTAGGATGGGTTGGGATATCAGTTGTATAGACTGTGTAAAGAATAGGACCTATGATACTACCTTGAGGAACTCCAACGGGCTGAGCACAAGTACTCTAAAAAAAAAAAAAATCCTACAACAGTTTTTTTTTAAACCGTTTTATTCAAATTAAAAGATAAAAAATTACTTATTGTAAAATATTATCCCATTATACATTTATCCCCCGAAATGATACACCATTTTTTATTTCCAAAAAAAACCCAATCAATATATATATTTTTTTAAACTGCCTTAAAGTTAATTTCTTTTAAAAAGAATTACTTATTTTCAATACCAAAAGGCTTATTTATTTTCTATGTCATCGCAAGTTTCAAAGCTTTTTAATTAGCACTGGAATAACCGGAAATATGCTTTACTAATCTAATACCATTCCTACCTTTGAATTCCGCCTGTTAAATCATTTCTTATCTATCCAGTCCCCATAAAATTGTAAATAGATACTACTGTAAATAGATACTACTGTAAATAGGTATATAAATTATTAGTTCGTTCTTCATTATTTTTACTCCAATTTTTACTTTCACTTACGTATATATGTAATATATAGTAAGTGCGATCGAGAAAATTTTTGACTCTGAGTTTTCGACGGATTTATACGTTTTGAGGTACCCTGAGTCGAAATGACCAAGTCCCGAAAAATGGTCTGTGTGTTTATATGTTAGCAGTCTAGCTCAAAAACAAAAAGTCCTATGAAACTGATATCACGTATTTAAGATAGGTATATGCCTTAGTTGTGACGCCAACTTTTTCCTTAAAATCGGCTAACCGAAAGTGCCACTTTATATCAACGCTGAAACACATTTTCACAGTTTTCTCAAAAACGGCTCTAACTATTTTGATTAAACTCGGTGTATCATTGTATAATTAAGTGGTATTTAATATAAATTAGGTCTTATCCCCATTGATATCACTTTACAGGGCTTAAATGCCCAATGTTCATATACGTTTTCCTCTAAAGTACCTTTAATATGGTTTATTTTAAAAAGATAATTATTTCACATTATTCAGAGTTACAAAAAAAATGCTATATATAACTTTTGAAAGAATTTGATAAGTTAATAAAGGAGAAAAAAAATAAAAATGCAGAAAAACGTAGCTATAGAGTGTAGCGCCTAAACGAATGAACCGATTTCATTGAAACTTCGCTAAAGTCATTTTCTCGACACCCTTCAAATTTATCTATATAACATTCATCAGCTAAAAGAACCTGAAAAAAAGTTACGAGGGATGGTAAAATTAAATTCCGAATAACTCAAAAAGTATACACTTTTTTGTGAATTTTGTAATAAGATGTTTCAAAGGTATTTAAATTGCCTAAAAAACAAAAGAAGTTTCATCAAAATCGAAGCACTATTAGTAGAGATATCGCGATTTTTAAATATGTTTACTTTCACTTACGTATATATGTAATATATAGTAAGTGTAAGTATTGCGATCGAGACAATTTTTTTTATTTATTTTTATTATTAACTGATCAAGATTAGAAAGTAACTTATGTATATATTTGTTTTCACTAAGACTATTCAATTACTCTGTATTTTTATTAATGTATCTCTGAGGCTCCTTAGCCCACATTTCTTTCTTGCTGTATTCTTAAGGGACTCGTCCCAGAATAAATAAAATATTATTATTAATAAAGAATTTCTTAATTTATTGTTTAAAAAAATTGTTTTGATTCTACAATTGGAATAGAAAATATGGTTTTTTGTAAAAACATAAAATCAAAATTATAATAACTATTACAACTGTTGTAACTATTACAACTATTCCTATGAATGTTCTCACAATCACTTTGAAAACAAACAACTCATATAACGCGTTAAAGTTGTTTTTTTAACAGTTTATTTTCATTGAAATAGAGACCTAGATTCATCTTATAGGAACCCAGAACGACTTTGGAAAGAGGTTAACGTAGGCAGATTAAATCCTCACGAAATGCGATTCACACGAAATGCCGCAGAAAGATAAAACGTAGGATAGTCTTTAATTAGATCCTAGTGGACTTATTTATCAAGATTCCTTTTTGTACAAAGAGGAAGAAGTTGAAGATCGGGGAGAGAAAAATGCTAGCGTGCCGTCCTTCGAGGACAGATAGCACTAACTCAGCCCTCGCGTGAAGGGAACGCGGACAATACTGTCACCTTTAAGGTATAATTTTCGATGGCAT